CTCGCTGCCAGCCTGGAGTTCTCTTCACCTAGTCCGGCAGCGGGCTGAGTAGGGCCTGCGGCTGGGACCCCAGACCTGGGGGTGGGTGTTTCAGGGGTCAGGGCAGAGGGCTGGGGGAGAGGGTTCAGGGCAGAAGGCTGGGGTGTGTCGGGGGGTTCAGGGGTCAGGTCAGAGGGCTGGGGGGAGTTCAGGGCAGAAGGCTGGGTGTGTGTTGGGGTGGGGGGTTCAGGGCAGAGGGCAGAAGGCTCTGTTGGGGTGGGGGGGTGCAGGGCAGAAGGCTGAGTGTGTGGGGGGGGTGCAGGGCAGAGGGCTGGGGTGCTCGGCTCGTGGGGGTGCTCCCAGCCCCCTGCCCTGAGCGGCTTATGGCAGGGGGTTGGAAGGGATATGCCCTGTTCCACCCCCTTCCCCCGGCTCCGTCCCTACCTCTCTCTGCCTCCTCTACGGAGCTCTGTGCACGCTGCCGCTCTTCCCCCTCCCCCTCGCTAGGGCCATCAGCTGATTGGCGCAGGGAAGGAGAAGAGGAGGGGCAGGAAAGCACCACGCTGGGGGAAGAAGCGGGGGAGGGGGGAAGCTTGGCTGCCGCAGAACCAAGCTTCTGCCTCCTGCCCCTGCAGGGGAGAGCGGTGGGCAGGGACCGCATCAGGGGAGCTGCGTGCCACTCAAATCAGCTCGCGTGCCATAGGTTGCCGACCCCTATTCTATACTGTCCTGTGTGACACTCCCATCCTCCTCATCACTAAAGAGTCCACACAGACACCCCCAACACACACAGTTCTCTCCCTACAGATAATGCTGCACTTAAAACTGCAGTATATATACCCTCAAGGACATGTACCCCCTTGGGAAGGAGAGGAGAGACACTATCTAATCTTGGGAGAAGGACAGAGATGGCATCATGCACTGTGCCAGCCTCTGCCGCCAAATCTGAAACCGGAGCAGAAGGAAGCAGCTCCCACTCTGCCACTCACCCTCTGCTTAGAGCCAGCCTTGCGATGGAGTCACCTTGGCAACATGTCAGGCCTGCTCATATCAATATAAGGGCTGGCACGGGAGAGAGAGCAAAGAGGGGGACTCCTGACTGGAGGATGGGAATCAAATAGTCTCCAGAACACTGAACAATGAGCTAGTGCCCCAGAGCATTAAGGCTGAGGAGGAATGAGGCAAACACTGGAAATCTGACAAATTCAGGTGGGTGATGGGGGAGGAAGCAGCACACAGGGCCTGTAGGCAAGGAAAACGGAGTACAAGCAAGCACCCCAGAGCCTCACAGCCATGGGGACATCACAATCATTGCCGGGTAGGCTTGCAGGCTTAATGCTCTGCGGGGGGCAGATGGCACTCATTTCCTACGTCTCCCAGGGGCTGCAGGATTGTTCTGTCACACCCAGAGAGGAAAGGAGATGTTACCCAGTCAGCTCTGAGAGTGCAGAAACAAACCAGAGAAGCCAGAGTCCCATATCTGCAGGAAAGAAAGCTGTGGAGGAGGATGATTCCCAGTTTCCCTTTCTCAACTTACATTCAGAGATTCAAAGGAAACAGTGCTCACTAAGAGTCCAAATACATCACCAACCCCATCACCCTTGTGTCCAGCTCATCCCCAGGACACTTCACGGCTTTGCCAGGCTCTTAACCTTTAAGATTCTGCACCTGCCTCAAAACTTCTGACATTACCAGGAAAAATAACCCTCACATACTCCCCTCATACAGTCAGCAGCTTCAGTTGTGGAGATGTCCCAGGACTGGAATAGCGGGGTGTGGGGAGGGGGTATGTCAAGACCAAGGGGCATTGTCAGAGCTGTATATGGGCTGCCCGGGACTGGAATAGCAGAGGCCAGGAGGGCAGGAACAAGGTGTATTTGATTCACATTTATTCACCACATATTACCTTGAATTATTTTGCAATGTGTGAACAGACTAGCAACCGCTTAGTAACACTTACCATACAGGTGACCGCTTAGTAACACCCACCATACAGAGCATAGTGCAGCCTCCACACTGACCAATGTGATTACACACGGACTCAGCCAGTTCTCACCACAACATCTGGTCCAGTCCTTTGCCATTGCATATTGTTCACTGCCTAATCACACACTAGACCGCTCTCTTGTGGGCAGGAGTCTCTAATTACGTCTCTAGGACTGAAATTATGGCCTGCTCCTATCCACACCATCAGCCTCCCCACAGAGCTCTCTGCTCAGCCCAGTGAGGGTACATGTGTGACACACAGAATCCGCGAGTCCAAGGACAGCAGCCTGACCCTGCTTGCCAGGTGCCCAGACCTACACAGCCGCTTCCCACACTCCCCATCAAAGCGAGTGGTACTGACGCTACTTGCACAAAGAGGAAGCAGAGAGCTCAAATCTCTTTCTGAAGAGCAGCTCCTCAGCCGAAGGATGGAATGTGTCTCGGCGGACCACTTAATGATCTTTCCAAATGTTGCTTGTACCATTAGCTAACTATTGTAAAGTGCTTTGGATAAAAGTGCTATGTGAAAAAACCTTAATAATAATTAACGTTTTTTTGTTCTATAAATAAAAGCACACAACTCATATTTTAATACCAGTAGTTTTACCTTTCTAATGCAATGGATGTGCCCTCTCTCTCCTGCTGTGGCAGCCCTCGAGCTGGGGCTGGGAAGGAGGGGGGTCTCTCCCCAGCAGCTGCAGACTTGGAGCTGGGGAAAGTTGCCTCTTTCTCTGGCCGCCGCAGACCTGCACATCCCAAATTCCCCACACCCCTCTTCTCACCTCACTGCCCCCTCCCACCTACCCCCTATTCTCCACAAGGCCACCACCTCACCTTACATCTTCTCTAGGGTCCAGGCACCTAATTAGTGGAGCCACACCTGTGCAGCTCCAGTAATTAGGTGGGTGGCCCTTCATTCTCTCGTGTGCGGCCGCCCAGGCACGCACCTTAAAGGGAACTATCTGCGGACCACCTGAATGGAGCTCGCAGACCACAGTTTGAGAACCTCTGATCTATACTATACTATAGGTATCTATACTGCCATTTTGAGCCTTGTAGCACAAGCCCGAGCCAGTTGACCCGGGCTCTGAGACTCGCTGCTATGGATTTTTTTCCCCCCACAGTGCAGACATACCCTAAGAGACCCAACCCTTCCTGGTCTGGAGATCCCCCTGCCCCACAAGCAGTAAGTCAAGTCACAAACACTGGAGCAACAGGGAACCTGAAGAAACAGTTCCTTCTGGTCACCAGTCCCCATACCCCAACCCAGCTGATATGTGCCTCTCTGTTCATCTGGGATGCATACTGTCCCTAATACCGACTCCTGGGATGCCACGCCCAACACACCTCTTCGATAGCCAAGCTCTGTCTCCAGTCCAGCTATGCTCTTATCTCTAACTGGATAAGAGATTGGAAATAATGAAAATTTGTTTTATTTTTTTATTTTTATTTTTAAACAGTGAAGGTAATTAACCATTGGAACAATTTACCAAGGGTCATGGTGAATTCATCATCACTGACAATGCTTAAATCAAGACTGGGTGTTTTTATAAAAGCTCTGCTCCAGGAATTATTTAGGGGAAGTTCTATGGCCTGTTACTCAGGAAGTCAGGCTAGATGGTCACAATGGTCCCTTCTGGCCTTATTATCTATGAACAGTCCTGCTTCCTCTCGGACCTCCAAGGCGGGCTGATCCAGTGCAATTTAAGGAGAGGATGAGACAGGGGCTTTATATCTAGGGCTGCTAGACTCTCCACATAAGCCCACATGTAGAACCTCTTCCACTGGTTTTGCGGGAGAGAATTCCCAATCTGATTATTTAGAATTTCTATTACATTAGCACCCAGAGGCTCCAGTCAGGATCAGGTCCCCATTGTACTTGGTACTGTACATACACAAACAGTACAAAGACATGGTCCCTGCTCCAAAGAAGCATATAGTCTAAATTCTACAGGAATCAGCAAACAGCAGGAAGTGTGAACCAGCAACAACACAGCTCAAGTTCGCTCACCAGATGGTGAACAGTACTATCTGAGGGCCCCAGGAGCAAGGGAAAGGTGTGTCTAGGGGAAATGGACTGGGTATGAATAATAGGGAGTTTCTTGCCTTATATCACCTCCCACCACAGCAAAAAAACAGACCAATGGTCCATGTAGCCTCCTCTTCTATTTCCAACAGCCAGAAGCTAGTTTCATCACACTATACGCTCTGATTTCTTGCTGACCCCACCTAGTGATCAGCTAATGCCCTGAAGTATGAGGATCAATACCCCTTGTGCTTGTACAGAAGCCAGTGTCACTGCTGTTGTTATACTAGTGGTTTTTTTCCTTTTTCTGACTCAATAGTATATTGCAGCAGCGAGTTCCAAAGTTTAACTATATAGTAAGCAGCAAAATAAAGAAGTCCAATGGCAAGCATGAGGGAAGGGGAAGAGGTGTTGTGCCTGACTTGTGAAGTTCTTTGGAAATGCTAAACTGTAGTTTGTTCTCTCCAAAATCTACATATCTCCCACCCTGCAAGTTGCAGCATCAGGAATACGACAGTAAAGACTTGGGCCTTGTCTATAATAGAAAACCATAGCTATATTAACAAACCCTTCTAGCAGAGATGCAGCTTACACCAGCAAGAGTTCTTTTGCCAGTATAGCTCAAGCCAGTCCCCAAAATGAAATAAGCTATACTGGCAAAAAGTACCTTTCTGCTGGTATAACTTGGCTAGGGCTTCTGCAGGCACTGCTGCACTGGTTAGAGGCATGATTTATTTCCCCTCATAAGTGACTTAGCTATACCCACAAAACTTAAGTGTAGACCCTAAGACCAGAGCTTAGAAGGAGCGAGCTCTGCGCACCAGCACAGCAGGCACCTGTGTTAGGGCAAGCCAGGCTAGGGTGCCCAGGCTCCTGAACCAGAGCCCACATTAAGACACAGCTGCAGGCAAGCGGCCCCGGGGACAGTCTGGCCGCGAACACTGCAGCCCCTGGCTACCTGCCCCACGCCCCAGTTGCCACAAGGGCACGCTGCTCCCTCGCCGCTCACCTGCGCCCGAAGATCCTGAGCCCCGTGAATCTCTTGTTGCTGTGCCTTCGCCCCAGCGCGGGGCCCTTCTCCGGCTCCAGCGAGATCTCCGAGCTGGTGGAGGACGGGGAGGTGGAGGCGCTGGCCCCCGCGCACCCCTCCTGCTCCTGCGGCTCCATGACCCGTGGCGGACCCGGCCCAGGGGCTCTGCGCTCACCTGCCGCCGGGAGCCCCTGTCATACCCGTGGGTGCCGGCGGTCAGCGGGGGCCACCTGCCCATGCGGTGCCGCGGCAGGAGCGCGCCGGAGACAGCCCGGCCCCCCGCCTGGCCCAGGGGCTGGGAAAGCACAGCGCGCCCCGCCGGCAGCCTGGCTCATGCCCCGCCGGGCCCCGGCAGCCAGCCGCGGGCGCGTCCCAGCGGGCAGCCGGAGCGATGCAGGAAGAGGCAGCGCTGAGTCGCGCAAGGTAGCGCCCGAGGACCCCGATAGCTGCCCGCGCAGCTGCCTCCGTGCCGCAAGGCCAGGCCGGCAGCCCCACCTGCCGTCTGAGCCTCGCACTGCAGCCAGCCGGCGGGGCCCGCTCCTGCCTCCAGGCGGGACCGCGCTGCAAAGGGGGCGCTGCGGCGCGGGGGCAGCCGGTGCAGAGCCCCGGGGAGGGGACAGCCCCGCTCTGGGGCCGCCGCTTTCGGGTCGGGCCCCTCAGGCCCAGCGAGCTGCTGGAGGGAGCTCAGAGCCCCACGCACCTGTATCGTGCCCGGCCGGCCCCCCACTCCCTCCGCCCCGCCGCTGCGCTCAGCGGCACCGCCCGCTTCCACGCTGGACAGTTCCCCGGGGCACTGGGCATCCTACTCTGGAGGACCAGCGCATACCAGCGTAGGGCAGGAAGGGAGGAAAATGACTCTAGCCAGCGAAAACTGCAGGGGGAAATGAAGGAGGCCAGGGGGATTTGACTGAGACCCTGGGGAAAGAGCTCTGTGGGATCCTTCATGACCTCGCTGGTATGGCTCATCCAAAATATGGCTCCTGCACAGGGCAGGGAGACTAGTTTGGTGCTGACTGTGCATATAGTGCCACCTGCTGAAGCACCAACACCCTGGGGATGTTCTTTGGAGGTCTGCCATCTAAATACTGACCAGAACTGACCCTGTTTAGCTTGAATTAAGATTCTACTGATGTGAGCTTCCTCAGAGCAGTGCCTTGTTGGTGCCAGCATAAAGACTGTCTCGGCAGTGCCTTAGTTATGTTTGGATTGGTTCAACTGCAGCAAAGCCACATCCTGCCAGCCCTTTCACTTTCATGCAATTGTCTCAACACCTTATTTGTCTTAGTGCATTAAAGAAGCCTTACATTATCTGACACCAAATCAACCTCATATGACAACAGTTAACACCTCTTAGCCAAAAAGCTGCCTCACAGAGACAAAACTCAATGCCACTGATCCACATTAGAATGAGGATGGTGTCATTCTGGTTAAGGAAGAGTTAACTAGGACTCCAGTAGCACAAGCTTCCACACAGCACTGCCAGTCAATGCCATCTGTGACTCTAGCTGTATGAACTTCCTTGCTGTAGTGCCTTGTTGATATCCTAGATTTCAGGCCACCTGGTCACCATCACCCCAAGCAAGTCAGAGGCTGAGCTCCAATCTCATCCATTCTCTGTCTAAATGCCACTTTGGCTTCAGCTGGCTGTCCATGTCCCAGAAATGCTTTAGCAAGACCTCCCAATTTACCAGGCAGCAAGAAAGTGTTATCCAGGGACATTCTCATTCCATAGACTTGGTTCCCGCATGGGAAGCTGCTGCTGCTCACCTTTGGATCAGTAGCCTGCAAGCAACTCACACAGCAAGACGCTGATAGCCACACTGGTAGATGCTTGAGTGGTGAAGCCTTACTGGAATGGGAGCTGCTATCAATAGGAGCAGGTAGCTTTGAAATGAACCCATTCCAGCTCACAGTGTACCTGGAGGGGCAAGGATGTTTCAGGACCTGTCCCAAGGGCCATCCCATGCCTGATTCCTGTGTCTACTTCTGTTATTGGCCTATGGACCATAGCAAGGTGTGTAGAGGCCCAAAGTGTTTACACAGCAAAGGGAGGAGGAGGAGGACTAGTGCTTACCACTTATCCAGTACTTCTGTGATGGGGTGTTCACCCCACACCACCCCTGAAGGAGTTAAAATGGCTCAGAAGGATCTACCTGCCAGGATGGGCTGCACCGAGTGAGATATACGCTGGATATACAGCCCTCATTGAATCTGAAGCCCAGCTAGGCAGAAAGAGGAGAGCAGAAAGGGACTGCTCCAGGGGGAGAGAGTCAGCGGTCACTCTCAGGGTTGAGAGAAAGGAGTAGGAAGAAGCCTAAGGGAAACAACAGCAAGGCTGAAACTATCTGGATCTTAGCTGCTGAGTGTAGGGTCCCTAGGCTGGAACCCAGTGTAGAAGGTGGGCCTGGGTTCCCTACCAGTCGCTGCGGGAGTGGCACAGATAAGGCACTGGACTTTGAAGATTGCCTGAGGCAGTTTGTTTACAGAGACTGATACTCCGAAAGGGGGAAAACTATAGTGACCTGGCCGGAGTGCCAAGCGATGAAGAGGAAGCGCTGAAGTGTGTGGAGTATGAGAGAGGCCCCAGAGTGAAGGACTGGGACAAAGGGCAGAGAAACCACAAGAAAAGGTGTCAAACCAGTGGCGAGCCACAAAGAGGTGCCTTAGCAGTGAATGGCACGAACCCTGTGACAACCTCCCATTGTTAAAATTCTCTGTAGACACTACTAACTCCTGAAGCCTCACAGTCCCTCTGCCAAGAGGGTCAGGACCATGCCCCCCATGTTACAGATGGGAAAACAGAGGCAGAGAGGGGAAGAGACCTGCCCAAGATCATGTAGGGCACCACTGTCAGGGCCAGAATTAAAACTCAAGAGATCCAGCCCCTCAACTGTGTGTTCAGCACCTTAGAATGCAGGGGGCCTGTATGTGCTGAGCCCCCTCCCAGTCAGCCTGTCAGCTCAGGAAGTAAAGTAGTGTCGCTCACACTCCCTCTCTCATGCTAGCAGGAAGCTGCTGCCCAAACTCAAAAACAAGAGAGCTTCCCCTTCCCTCTTTTGTTACACTCACTGTAGCATCCTGTTTAAAATTGGACTGTGAGCCCTTCTGGGCAGCATTGTGTTAACGCAGAGTCCAGCTCAATGATGCCCAGTGCTGATTAGGGCCTCTGGATACAGATAACGATGATACTAAAATCAAAGCAAGGGGAAAGTGAGGCCAGATTCTTGACTGTGCATCTCCCCAGAGGAACCATCTGAATTTTCCCTGGGTGTGCCCCCAACAGCTGCTTAGGCCCTAAAATCAGCTCCCTTGGCGCATATCAATTCAGGAAAGCCCCAGAGACATGGCAGGGACTGTCCAGCAGCTTTCAAGTTCCTCTCCTTAAAAGCTACCCCATGCTCCCTGTCCACTTCTCTTTATCCCCCATGTGTCACACAGAGAACTGAACAAATTAGTTCTCAAGTTCCTCAGCAGACAGATGATTCCAGCAAAGGCAGAAGCCAGGCGGGTTGCTTATTTCCTTGTCCAAACCACCACACAAGTTGCAATATGTTCCTGTGACAAACAGTGAGCGCTATTCCCCCACCGCCAGTATTCTCTAGCCTAGCACATGTTGTGGCTATATCATACTTGCTAAATGGCAAGATCTTTGCAAGAAGCATGGAGCTGTAAAATTATATTACTCACCATGCTCTGCTCTCCAACACTATTTGCTCCCTTTGCACCAAGCTCTGGCAATATCCTGTGCACAAGTTCTGAACTGCAGTGTCTCCTATTCTGTATGGCTAGAAAGACTTGTTAAGTCATGCAGGATTGTTACCTGCTGCTTAGCCAGCCCTAGCCACATGCTCCTGTTTTCTGTGGAAGAATGGGCAGCAACACCACACACACAGGGTGGGCTAGTAGCCAAACAGGCGTCCTCCCGTTCTGCACCTAAGCTCGTGGGAGCAGGATCTCAGGGACGCCCAGGAGCTTGCTGGAAACTCCCCTCACTACATTCTCCAATATTACTGATTTCAGGTCACTGCATTTTATTCAGAGTAAAAATCCCTCCCCATCTCCTTGGTGGTTGGGAATGAGAGAGCAGCCCAGCTAATTCTTACCCCAGGGAGAGACGTGGGCTGAGCTCATATACCTGCCTCAGAAACTATCATTCCCCCAGACTGCCCTCCCTCAGCATCTCCTACCCTCACAACCTCTCAGGCTCCAAGCCCCTTCCTTTTGCTGCCTCACTCACACACCCACAATTCAAGCCTATAACGCTCAATTGTCAGAACAAGCAGTAGGAATGCTACTAAAAGGTCAGACGCAGACCACGGGGTTGCTGCAGAGCTGGAGAGAGCATCTCCCCAGGATAGGGCTGTACAGTGGACTTGGGTTTAATCCCCTCTATACATTTCCAAGTCAGCATCAAGATTATTCCACACTTCGAAGGGCTCTCTATTTTCCCCCAGGTGCTCAAATGTTTTCCTCACAGATTTTGAAATAGAAAGTAGGGCTGTCAAGCGATTAAAAAAATTAATCGCGCTATTAATAATAGAATACCATTTATTTAAATATTTTTGGATGTTTTCTACATTTTCAAATATATTGAGTTCAATTACAACACAGAATACAAAGTGCACAGTGCTCTCTTTATATTTATTTTTTATTACAAATATTTGCACTGTAAAAAACAAAAGAAATTGTATTTTTCAATTCACCTCAGACAAGTACTGTAGTGCAATCTCTTTATTATGAAAGTTGAACTTACAAATGTAGAATTATGTACAAAAAATGCATTCAAAAATAAAACAATGTGCAGTTATGAAACAAAAATATATATACATTTGTAAGTTACACTTTCACAATAAAGAGATTGCACTACAGTACTTGTATGAGGTGAATATAAATATAAAGTGATTTCAATTGGTATTCGATTGTTTAACAGTGCTATTAATTGCCATTAATTTTCTTAATCACCATTAATTTTTTTGAGTTAATCACGTGAGTTAACTGCGATTAATTGACAGCCCTAATTGAAAGCTTTGCACGTGCTGGCCTGCTCCACAGATCGACATCCCTGAGGACACACCGAGGTTTTTGAGTTATGTTTAATAATGGAGATGTTGATTTCACCAAGGAAACCTGTTTCCTGGCGATGGGAGCTGCCAATCCTTTTTGCACAGAAAGAAAGTAACTTTGGAAGTGAGGTGGGGCCCTGTGAGCTCAGTGTCTCCCCCTGAACCAGGCAAAATCAGGCTGAGGGCTCAGTGTGTAAAGGCTGGAAGGGGAAGATCCCCTGCTAGAGATCTGGGGGGTTTGTCATTGTGGGCTTAGTCCTAGGTATCCCCACAACCTTTTCTAG